TCCAAAAAAGCAACTTGTACATATTGGAATGCATTGTGTATGCAATAGTATGTTTTTCCATTTCAAGTTGGGAAAGCAAAACCAAAGGAGATAATTAATCTATGAAAACATTTCAGTTGGAAGTTTGTACATCAAGGTTTTATGAAGTTTAAGAAAGAGGGATTTGACTTGAAAACAAATCATACAATAGTGAAGCACAAGAATTTGAAAATGATGATTTACATGCACTTTCAGATGATGATCCCAGTCAATGTTAAAACTGATTTTTAAAAAAAATTGGTATCGATATTTATCAGACTTTTTGCAAAGTAACATTGCACATTGTTGTACTTGCCAGTGATGCTGAACTATTATTAAAAATTTGTCACAATGCATTCAGCAAACTAGAGGATAATTTAAGAAATATGATTTGCATTAGTGCTGGAACACACTACAGAATATGAACACAAGTGTTTTGTTGCAGTCGTTTGTTTCAATCATTTCTTTTGAATAATTTTTAGTCCTTGAAATTGATAGAAATTGTGTCTCACCAATACTGGTTAATTGTCCCTATATTCTAGAATCTTTGATATACCTTTTTCTAGCATGTCTCATCCTAGTGCTAACACCTCCATAAGGCTAGTTAGAGACTCCCTACCTTATTGTAAAGAATAAAGTTTTTTTACTGACAGATATTTCTTACTGGTGCAAAGCATTTCCCATGACAGATATTTCCATATATAATACAATAATAGCATTTATTTCTGGATGTGTATCTTGTTTCAAAATCCTGGGTGTTGTTACCATAGACAGAGGATGACAAATCAGATTTTTCTGTCACTTAATAAAATTTTAGTATAACCAGATAATGCGCATCATTATGAAACAAATGGAATGGCGGAAAGATTCTCTTGCACTTACAGTGCTGACTTTGTTCATCCATGGATGCAAAGAAAAGGACTGAATTAATTTTTATAGTAATGTTCACCTAATACAGGGCTCAAGAGTCACTCTAGGTAGGGGGATTTCTTTTTAATCATTTCAAGTAAGGCAATAAAGCTAAGATGCAAATGGTTATAGAGTGTGAGATAATGAGGAAAACATGGGCATTAACTAAAACCCTACAGTCTAAGCTTGATGGAATCTACATTCGGATGCTATACTTAACATCTCCTGGTAACAACAGCCAACTAAATCTCAGCTCTTATAGACCCATCCCTGATATTTCTATAATCTTACACAGAATAGGTTTTACAGGACACTGTTTGCAAGCAAAACAAGAACTCTCCCATAATCTACTGTTATCTAGCGTATCTACTGCTCTGGACACTTAGCCATGGAGCAAGACTAATTGGTCACCCAGGAATCACTTACATTGACCAGTTATGTTATGACACAGAATGCTACCCTAATGACCTTTCAACCTTGATGAAAGACCATGATTTGTTGGTGTGATAGACTTTTGAATGTCTGAGTTAGCCTGACTGAAAAAAAATAATTTAAAATTTTTGAAGATCAAAGTTGACTGAGAAGCAAGAAACCAGAAGAGAGTTCCACAGGTGAGAAGTGTGATAGAAGAAACTGTTAGCATGGAATTTATGGTTACATCTAGCCATTTCAACTGTAAAATGATGAAACCTTGCTGCCAATCTAGTACTACACTTACATTTCTAAAGTCTATGCACCAAAAAGAAAAGTTCATCAGAACAATTATCATAAAAGTATTTACAGAAAAGGCACAGGGATGCTACGTTACTGCAGTAGGATTATTGTTAAAATTGTTATGATGAATGAAGTATATGCTATGAAAAGAGTTGGTAAGAAGTGAAGATTATGAGGATAAGGAGAATGGACAATGATTAACTCTTGAGTTGAAGAGGTTAAGATTGTAGTGTTCAAAGAAGTATCCCCACAGGAGCCTTTTCCACACAATACCAGTGCTTTGAGGAGGGGGCTGTCTGAGTGGAAACATTTGGGATACGGTGAAAATGAAAGTGATTCAACTCGGTGATAGTGGAATGGAATATCTTAGCTGTAAAGATCTGAACTGGTGCACAACTAAAGAATGGAGATGGGTTTTGCCATAGAAATAGTGATAAAGTAGCAATAGGCTTGAAACATTATGTCTGGCGGGGGCGGAGGGGTAAGAGCTAAGTGGAGCCTCTCCTTAAATCTATCAAAGTTAGAAAGTGACGAATGAGTAGCTCTCGCCTAGATATAGCAGCAATAGTCCGTTTTTGGTCAAAACTTAGTCTTATATGGTAGATGTCATATACTTTCTGGAGTGATATTGAGCCAACCATTTTTTTTTTTTTTTTTTTTTTTGTTATAAACAATTCGCCCTAGCTGTTACCATGAAAATTTTGATTTAAATTTTTAAAACACGTAAATTTCAGAAACACGTTATTCCCAAAAAAAATTTCGCTTGAAGATGGAACAGAGCTTTTTTAACTCCATTTAATTTAAATAATTTAAATAATTATTTTGAAGTTTTCGGCTCTTGTTTTGAAACATGGGACTTCTTATGTCGCGATTTGGAATCATATTTTTAAATAAATAATTTTATATATATATATATATATATATATATATATATATATATATATATATATATATATATATATATTAATAATGATTTGAAAGAGAAAAGCTCAATCTCGAAGACAGTAGGTAGATTGAAATTGCATTTAAACTTTTGCAGATTTGTTGGGTGGAAAGCATGGAGCTGGGAGGGAGTTTCATAAATGAGAAATTCAAGTTAAGAAACTGTTAGTATAGAAGTTATGGCCATATCTAGCCAGCTCAACTGTAAATTGAGGAGATCTTGCCACCAGTCTATTATTGCTTACTATTGAGGCAGGAGTACAAGGTCTGGAGTGAACTTTAGACCCAATAGACATTCAAAGCATGGTGCTTCATTTAGTGCAACCATTCGTCATGACTAGAGAAAACTTGGGGTACAATCAGTGATGATGAAACAGTATGAACTTGGTTTTTGATGTGTTGAAATGTATGCTATATAATACAAACTAATACTGTATTTGATGTTTCCCAGGTGTGTATGTTCCAGAGGTGACATATTAATATGGAGGAAAATCTAGCTGTTTCTATTACAAAACTTTACTCTTGTGTACTATTGTGATAAGTTATTAAATTTCCCATTTATGGGATCTTAATGACAAAACTGGCAAAAAAATGTCCATTTCTCCACAACTGTTACTGATATTTACTTTCTTAAAATGTATTATTTACTTTATATTCTAATTTCTTTGTAAGGAACAATCATCTGTGAGTCAATATCTCTTCTATTAAAGCGTGGCATGTTTTGTGCTTTACAAAGTAATGGACACTGTCCTTTGTATATAGAGATTTATATTGAGGGATTATATTATTTTGTGTGATTATATATTCAAACTTTTTCCTTTATATATTATATTACATTTGATTTTTTTTTTATCATTTTATCATAGAAAAAATACAGAGCTAATGTTATTTAATGTCTGATCTTTTGCATTATATAATAAAACCATTAGATAATGTTTTTCATGGTTATTTGTAAAATCTTTAATGACTCTATTAAATGTTAAATGGAAAAAGTTTCTTTATGCAAGCAAAGTTTGGGAGTGCTGAATCTCATTTAGTAATTTGTTGACATTGGTAAATTTTTTTTCCTTTTTATTTAGGTTAGAATATTCATATTTTACGCTTGTGACTAAATTGAAAATTTAAAATTGTATTTTTCTTTTTCTGCACTGTTGGCATTCTATAAGATCTGTAGATGACAGAAAATATATTTGTTTTTGATTCCATTGAAACTTTTTTTTTCTTTTCTTTTGTGTGAATGGAATTGTATAACTGATTTACTTTCAAAGAGCTTTTCTATGAAAAATTTTGCCTCTGCCAATCCCTGTAATTCTGCCCCACTCCAAATATCTCACACAGTGATACCCATCATTTAAATTAAATTTAATAGATTTTGAATATAATTTGAGATTACCTCTTTATTTTGAGAAGGAGGAAAGGTCTGTCAGGTGGCACCGAGAACTATAAATGACTAGCAGTAGAGCCCGGAATTGCCCGGGGATGTAACAGTAAGAGATAGATCAAGTATTGACCATCATAAAGACTGAAAAATAAAATTGACAAAGATTATTGTTTAAGGTTAACAGACACGCATGTCTTAATTATTATTATTTTTTTTTTTTTTTTTTTTTTTTTTTTTAATTGGTCAAACTCAAACAAAAACATTGTTTTTCAATCGTTATGAGTCTACCGATTGAATAGAATTTTATTATAAACAATTGTCTTGTAAATGGAATTTTTAAAGCATTCTGAATGTAAAAATAAAGAAAAAAGTGTGAAAGACAATAAGAAACACTACCTTCCAAAAAAAAAGTGAAGTTTTGTTGAAATCGGTTGAAAAATGTAGGAAAACTGATCCCATATATAAATGAACACACACACACAACCAACCTGGGTTTTATAATAAGTATAACTCGATATGAGTTGTCCCCCTTTCATTAATGCCTTTTAATTGTGTTTTCAAATTGATTTTATACAAAAACAATTGTTTTTCCAATTTTTAGCGCTGTCAGAACCACCACAAGTTTTGTTGAAATCGGTTGAAAAATGTAGGAAATCTGATCCAATATATAAACGTACAGACACACACACACACACACACACACACACACACAATCTGTGTTTTATAATAAGTAAGATTTAACTGCTGGATATTTTTACCTGATAATTTATATGGTTTAATGATTTGACTGTCTTAGTGCTTCTCATAATCAGAAAGAGCTGAATAAATGTGTTTTTTTTTTTTTTTTTTTTTTTAAATATCTGAAGACAGCTGGCTTGTCTCGTCATTGGTGCCACTTTCTAGTAGCCACCATGGCATGTGCCACAATTCTCTTACGTCTTTAGAAGTCTATGATTTGTCCGTGCATTGAATATTGCTGCCACATCTTGTCTGGTGCTTCTGCTATGTATCTAGAGATCCTTGAAAGGCTTATCACATTGAAACACTGGTTCTCATATGATCATTGAAGTTAAGCAATGTCAAACCTGGTCAGTACCTAAATAGGTGACCACTTGGAAATAGCAGGTGCTGTAAGCTAGAATGTGAAGGTTGTGTAATGGATAACTTGCTTGGAATTGAAAATCAAAGCTGAATTCCAATTCCAATCAGGTTTGTTATATTCATTTATATGCAAATATCCTTGGCAAAGGTATGAATTCAACACTTCTTATCCACCTATGACTTGTATCGGTAAATCATTATCTCCAAAAATTTCTTACAATCTAAAAATATTTTATGGCTTTAAAAAAAAATCAATAGATTTATAACAAAATTTAAAGAATCTGCAATGTTATTTGTTCTGACCTGGCAACTTGGCTTCAGTCACTGCCTTTTCTATAAATATTTTTATAGCAATTTTTCCAATGAGCTTTCAGCTTTGGTACCTCAACTTCACAAATTTAAGATTACTAGATTAGCAGTTAGGTGTCACCATTTTACTGCTGAAACTGCAAAGATGTAACAAGTTCTATTCTAATAGTTTCTTCTCTCACACTTATGGAACTCTTTTCTGGCTTGATTTTTTATCAATCTTCAAAAATTTAAATTCAATATCAATCGCTATCTGTTTCCTTGAATGCTGTTCTTTTTTATTGTCCTTTCCTACACTCTAAGTACTCTTTGTGTCTTAGTGGCTTTATCACCTTGCTTAGAGTGAAATGTTGAGAAAAAATAAAGTAAAACTCTCTGGTCTCAATCCTACTTGGAATTTGGCACCATACGATCTTCTTTTTGCTGTTTGTACATATATTTCAGGAAATGTGGGCACTGTAGTAGTTACTGGCATGGAAATTGGAATGAAAAATTTCAGCTCAAATCCCAGCTTAGACTGCTGCATTAAGTTTCAGAAAAATGTCTTTGATAAAGGCATAAATCCATCTCTGCTTTCCCAGCTATGGATTAAATAGCAGAGTAGACTGGACTCCCTAGTTTTGGGTGGGAACAAGTCTAACAGATGGAAGTCTGTGATTTCTAAACTATGGAAAAGGCAATAGTAAACCGCTCCACTAGTCATGGTATTTCACAGATAATAGGTAAATGAATCTCTAGAGACTCATAATCACTCCAATCATAAAGGGACATGTTATTAAAAAAGCATCCCTTATTTAAAACTCTAAATTCCAAACTGTGGAGATGACAACAGGAAACCACTTCACTATCTTGCTCAAGAAGGTATGACAATTCACAGATAATAAAGAAGTCATCTTTGGAGAGTCATGATCACCTGTGTTCTGAAGAAACATGACATTTAAACTTTTATACCCAAGTGAAATTCATTAGAGCCAAGTTGGAGATAATTACCTATTGTATCCAACTTTGAGAAGTGTCATTAACATCCCCAATATTATCTGTATATATTTCTGAGATGAGGTATTTTAATTGTTTACATTGTTTGGACTGTTGTCCTCATCTTTGTTGCCATATTCATGATATTTTACCCATTGTATGATCTGGTCATCCACCAAGAGATATTGAAGGATCAGTATGGATCCGATATACTGAAAGTATGAAGACAATTAGAAAAGTCTCACCAGAAGTTGGCTTGAATATTGAACCATCTAACATTTCTACATCATAGTGAGAATTACAACTCATCTATTCAGGCTTTGTACCAAGACTTTCCATTAATTCAAGAAGAGCCCATCTTGTCGCAGAAAATATGGGACACGCCCTTGTCTGGGAAAGAATCCAGTACAATAGTTGGATAAAACAAAAACTGTAATCTGATATCTCCCAAAGGCTCAAGACTTTCTTCAACAGAATTACTGATGAAAAAGACTGAAAGAGGATTCGGCATGATCTGGATAAATCCTTCAAACACAAATTCAATGCAGTCAAGGTCCACCAAGTATAAAAATTAAATACTGAAAAATCAAAAGATGATTCACAAGGTCCTTTACCCCTCAATGAAGGTAGTAATCAACTTTAGTCGACACCAGCTGAATGTCTCTAAGGAGTTAGTACTGAACAAGTGTCTCAACTTTGCAAAAACCATCAAGCAGATACCATATTGCCTGGATCGAGGAAATAGCTTTGAACATTCCCCAGGCTTGGGTGGCTGAACTAAGATGGAAAGTGGGATAGATACTAGAGAAAGACGAGCTGCACAGATCAAACATGACAAAACTGGAGAGGCTGGCAAACAAAACCTTGCAGAGGAATGACAACATCATAATACTATCAGCTGACAAAGGCAATGCGACTGTAGTGATGAACAAAACAGCATATACAGAAAAACTGGAAGACATCATTGGTGTGACAAGATGATTTCTCACACATCATTAGGAGATAAATCGATAGATTCCTTTTCTTTTTTAAGTCAGTTTATGACCAGTGTTTTCAGGAATCCTGTCTCCAGCCTGCCTTTGAATTGGCAAACATAGAATTTTGTTAATGATTTTAGATTATCATAAAAGTAGACTCCTTCGAAAAAAATTGACAATCCATCCAACCTTTTAGGTGGTCATCTTTTTTGGAACAAATGTGGAAAGATAGTGGGTGGTGGAACCCCAGACGGTGTCCATATAATGAGTAGTCAGTCAGGAGCAGTCAGTATATAATGGACCAGCAAGCAGTGAGAAATTAAAAAGTTGCCTAGACACTCGATGAATGTAAGAGTTTTCTTTCTATAGCCAGAAGTTATTAAAATAGCAATTCACTATCTCGAAGCCAAAGGAAGAATACCATGATTAAGTGAGAAATTGTATTGTTGCTATTTCACAATCAGTGTCTTGAAAAGCATTTGTCATTATTCTTTGTTGAATTTGATCATGGCCAAGGAGACAAACCTGTGAACACAGCTAGCTGGCTGTATATACACCTACAACCGACCTTGTATGTCATCACAGATGCAAGTAAATGATAAACTTGCAGACTACATTGTCACATTAGGAATGATAGCTACAGTAAAGAAAGATCCAACAATGAAAACACAACAAAAACTGTTGCAGATCCTAATCAAGAACATGACCACTTCCCACCTAAGACATACAAGCAGTTGTCACAGCATTACATCAAGCTACCTTACATATATAGTCACCCTAAAATTCACAAAGACAGTATTCCACTCAGGTTAATTGTTAGCTGCCAAAGCTCTGTGTGCCACCTTCTGAGTTGTTTTCTTGACCCATTAACAGGATAGTCACCTTCATATGTCCAAAACTCTGCCCACTTCATGGAAATAATCAAAGATGCTTCCATCCATTTCAACCAGATGGTAAATTTGTTTACCAAGGTACCCATGGAGGAGGCACTATAAGTAGTTGGGGAGAGACTGGTCTCGGACTCCTCCTTAGGTGAACAGACCAGTATACCAATAGATAACCTGATGGAGATACTGACTTTCTGTACACAAACATACTTCAGAATGGAATAAGACATAAGGACAAAGGCTTAGCAATGGGCTTGCCATTATCACCAGCAATGATAAACATATACATGGAATACTTCAAAGAAATGGCATTAGAATTCACATCAGTAAAGCCAAAACTATGGATGAGATACATAGATGACACCTTCATACTCTGGCCACACCAGTTAGAGGTCTAGCTACTACTGGACCATGTGAACTCAATAAGATCATTGATACAATTCACAATGGAGAAAGAAAATGAAAACAAACATGCATTACTGGATGTACTAATATATCAACCAGAATATGGTTCTAGATATCTGTATAATGCAAGCCAACATTCAGTGGGCAATACCTCATCTTCAACTCCTACCACTCATACAGTGTAAAGAAAGATTGTCCATTGCTTACAACATTGAGCAAAAGTCATAAGTGGTGACCCAGAGACGCATGAAAAAGAAATGGTCAGTATAAGCAGTTCGCTACAATGTAACAACTAATCTGGGTACATGGCAGCACCTCTAACTGGGATAGAAGGGTGCAAGAGGATAACACTCAGGGTAGACAATCAAAAGCTGTTTTCTATGTGAAGGGATTATTTGAAAAAAATACAAAAGATATGTGGTCAATTATAACATCAGAATGACCTTCAAAAGTGGTTCAATACTTTGCAGATACCTTTTTTAAGTAAAACCCCTCTATAGAGGAGAACAGGACTAAGGATTGTGTGTACACCATACCATGCAGCTGTAGTAAGAAATATAAAGGAGAAACAGGCTGTCCACTTAAGATAGGACTGCAAGAACATTCTAAAGCTGTAACATGAGGGGAAATAGAAAAATCAGGCATAGCTGACCACATATGGAGGGAAAATAGAGATCACCACCATCCTGTGGGATGCGGTTGAAATAATACAGAGAAAATCACTGTAAAATAGGAAAACTTAAAGAATCAGCATATATGCCAGGCCACAAAAATCTCTTAATCTGGCCAAGCATAGAAATGAATATTGATAAGATTCCAGGTCTGGTTTCAAATGTCAGTAATTCCTCTTGGTAAGTAAAGTTCAAGTGCCAAGAAAAAAATCACAGCAATTTAAATAGTATCTAATGGGCTAATCTGTGGATATGTATATGTTTGTATTTCCATTTGTTTGATCTTCAGATTCTTCACAGTTGATAAATCAATAGACATGTTCCTTTTATGTCATTAGGTTTTATATATTCAATATTGTGTCAGTTCTTTTTCTTAGTAGATGCTTTTCCAGCCGCCCAAGAATTTTAGCTTTGCATTCTTTTCCATTTTGTGTAAGTTGGAACTGAATTGATGTTTCTGAACTTTAATAACACTGGAGTTCACTTGTCTAACAGATGCTTATCTATCCTTCTCTATGTTGGCAGTAGATCCAAAATCTTCATCTTTTGTTTCATTGTCTTGATGTGCATCTCTAGGAAAGTCGTCATTGTTCTCAGTACCATTTCCTGCAGCATCCATATTTTCCTTGTCTTCATCTTCACTGTCATCACTTTCTATATTATTATTATCAGATGTTTTATTATTATGAGTAGCTTTGATTCTAAAGGTCTCAAGAGTCTGCTTTCATTCATGTGAACAGGAGTGCCTCCATATCTTGCTATCACAACTACATTGTCTTTTCCAACAATTCAACCTGTCCCTTTCCATTT